ATCGGAAAAAAGCTGCACGCATTTTTGTGTATCTTTTACAAGATATATGACAAAGTGGCTTTTATATACCAGAAGTAATTTTATATGCTAGATAATTTCCATTAAGTGTATAAATTTTACTCAAAAGTAGTTTTTATTAAATAAAGTATCATCATGATAAAACCAAATGTGGTTTTGAGCATTTACTTTTATTGTAAATACTGTTTAAAATCTATCGTAAAAAATCATTAAACTTTGCCGTTATATGGCGAAAAATTCTAATATAAGAAGTTTTTTAATAATTATTTATTTATTGTGATATTGTTATAATACTATATAATGATGCGTACAGTGTTTTTATCTGCTATAATCGATGAAATTTTTAACATACAATTTTTATAGTTTAATAACGCCAGCCAAGCAAAAGGGTTTATCGATACTTCCTCAAGTCTCGAAGGAAATGTAGGGTATAAACTACTCTGTCACCAGATCCTTTCACGCTTCGTTTGATCGAAAAATCGTTCCTCCAGTTTTCCAAATCCTAGAACTTCATCTGGCTATTTAAAGTTAATAGCGCATGAACATCGATACGCGCAGAAAAATAAATAAAACGATGCATTTGACACCGCGCAAAATGCAATTTGTCATTGTTTTGAAAAATCCAGCATTGTTTTGAAATATTCAACAAAATGCTCTTTGTGACAGTAATAGAATCACCGTGCGTTTTTTGCAATTCGACGCTGATATGCTTTATAGTGCAAATCGAAGGATAGAAAACGGTATAGGTGTGTATATATATCACCTACGTGCGCGTTGGTGTGTGCGCGACAACAACAAGCGGAAAGGCCGCAAGTTGGACGGATTTAATACCGCGGAGCTCCGGTTCGAACACAAACGTACACTTGACTTTACCATTGCCACATCACTCCATCGATCTCATCCGCGGCGTCCAGCTTCACTCAGCATACGCCGCGGAAAATGTTTTCAGCCCGTGTAATGGTGGTTGAGGGCGATGTTGATTGAAAGGGCGTATCGCCTCTGCGCATTGAAGGCACGGCAAAATAATGAAATGCTTATCGCTGCACTCGTACGGACGAAGAATATTCCCACATCAATTACTAAGAAAACAGAGCTACTTGATCACTATTTAATCGCGTCATGAATGTCTAATAAATCAAAAGTGGTATTATATGTACAGTATCTATACACTTCACGCTGCGAATCAGCTGATGTTTCGTAAAAAAAAAGGAAATTTTTTTCGCAATTGATTTTCTACAGCCCCGCCGTGTTGCGAGGAAGCTTTCTCCAGGGTTCCATTTTGTTATCGCATTCTTTCCTTTCTTCTTCTACAACTTACATTTTCGCGTCACACATGGACAAAAGAAAAATGTAGTATCTTTATATATCATATCTCTTACACTGGTCGTAAATTACCTGCCGCTTTCAGCCGTGAGAAAGATATATGTTATATGTCCTTCAACGTTGTGTGATGAAAAACGGTGATCCGGTTTGAAAACTAACAAATATACCACTGAAATGGGCAAAAGATTAAGCAGAGGATGAAATTGTCTTGATGGTCATTAAAAATTGCAAAATAACACACGTTCTGTTTCGGCTTTGTCATCATGGCATAACTTTATTACTTGTTATAACAACACGCATTATATCTGATAAACTTCGCGGAAATTCGAAGCTGATATCCGCACGAGTAGATGTTGAGAAATTGATTTATTAATAATGCATGAAACAAGAAAAGTTGTAACGGTGAATATGTATGAAACGCAGTGATATTGAGTTCTGGATCGACACGATTTCTAGGCACATATCTAATATTTCGCTGCCGAGTATATTCTGAGAGGAAGTCCGTGCGGTAACCGCACATGTGAAATTCAGTTTCGCAGGTACCCAATTAAGGAGTTGCCTCAGCCAGAATGACTAGGCACTTGATCTGAGGTTTGTTAAGGTTAGATGTAATGAATGCATATCTCATTATGTCTAACATAGAATATTATTAAACAATTCGCGTATCTCTAGCAATTACAATAATAATTTGTTTAAACAGTTTAACAATTTTTGCAGAAATTATTCTATTATTTAATATATTAAATATTTTTTATTTTTATGACAATTTTATTATATGAATTTTTAGCAACTGTGATATAAAAATGGCATTTTTAATATCACGATTGCAGTAGACATATGTTTTCTCATAAACGCGACATTATTTTTGAATAAAATCTCTTATGTGCTTTTTTACAATTATTAATAAAGATGATATCTTGGCAATGAGCGAGAATTGTATAATATCTTCATCAGACAGTTGTGCTTTCTATTTTTTGGCAGACGACCAAATTGCACGCGTAATTACTTAAGTACGGACATAGGATAGGACGCAAGTTGAGTGCTTGTAAACCAGACACTATAATTAGAAGTACTACTTAAATTAGAGTGTACGATGCACTCACGTCATGGAAATTATCATATTTCATGAGGATGAGCAGACACACCCAACTTGATTTTTAGAAATCGGATACGTCGCCACACATTTAGAAATTATAGAGGGCGAACGCATAGTGTAATTCCTTGAGAAATTTAGATTCTATTTTCGCTTCGGCAGATAAAAGCAGATTGAATGTCTCCATAAATCAAGAAACGTGATACTTCTCAGAAAGTGCAGACTCCGAAATAAACAGCGGGAGATAATCTTTCATGTCTACTAAACTTTTTTTTATTAATGCCTAAATTATTTTAATATCTTAAATTACATAAAAATATTTTTCTGATAAAAGAATTGTTTTAAAATCTATCGCTACATTTCATATCGCTGGGCGTAGTCAGAAGAAAGTGCCACAGCGATTATGTTTGACAATCGATGATAGCATGTCTCTCGGTGTGATTTGCGTTGGCTTTAATAGCAGTACACATCAGAGCGTATCGATCGAATTTCTAATTCGCGCTATGGACATTGTTACACATTTAAAAATTTATGTCATCGATTATGCATAAGTAACGGCTGCGACCGAGATGTACAGCGGACGCTGCACAGTGATGGATATCGTCGATATAGACCCTACGTGCCAGATGTGTTACATAGTTTACTAGAAATTTCAAAGTTGTCTGGCCGACTTGCTGCGCGATGCAAATATAATTCCTGCGAATACCATTGCCGCAGTGGAATCGATAGCGACAGTTCACGGGAAACCGTCGGGGATGAACGCATCGGAAGTAAGAGGAGACACAGGGAATAAAGAAACTGGGCCATCGGGCCAAACAGCATGTGAAAGTCTTAAGGGTTAAACGCTTTCGAAAGAGGGAGAGACAAATGGATGAAGTTCTCAGAACTCTCAGACATCTCTCATTTCTCAGATGTCTCTTCACTCTTAAAAAAAACACCCGCGTGGACGTCTTTAATTCCACGCACGTAGGGTTATGCATCTGCAGTTCCCTCACGATTCGCATGAAAGAAAAGTTGCCCGGCGAAGCCCGTGAAACATGCATTCGTAGAAATTGCTTATATGTCCAGCCGTGTAATTTTATTTATACTTATTGGCTCTGCTATTGCTTCATCATGGAAGTAGTGGACACGAGCAAATAGCGCGCAGAAAAGAATATTAGTTTTCAAGATGACATTTTTTTAATTTACAGCAGATTAAAAAGCAAACTAATTTCGAAAGGCTTTCTTGCAGACGACAATCGGCAATAAATTGCGATTGTTATAGTTGCAAATATTGTAGATTTAAAAAAACTAATTTTTAATTGATGATCAAACATTTTTTATTTGTTTATTATCAGTTTTCTTCAAGAATTTGAATTATTTCATTGAATCATTTATTATTTATGTTGTTTTATAAAATATACTATTATTTTTGATTTTTTCTCGCCATAAAACTTCGCCGATTGAATAATATTCACACAATTTCCCACAATAAAATTTAAAAGAGATGTGCGCGTTGATTTGGACCCTAAAACGAACTCTTATGTATTATTTATCTCCCGTTCTCAACGAATCGACTTCTTCCACACCTGCGTGTATCTAAAAATAACGATTCTCCTTGGAGAGACGATGCAGTGCTATCGAAATATTGGAATAAAGATACATCTCCTGGAGAGATTAAATTCACTCAATTTTATTTAATCCAGTAAAAAGCATTTATACGCCATACAACACACGTTACTTATTACCATACAATTAATTTAAAATTCAATTTCTACGGTAAGAAAGTGTTTACATTACGAGAATTGATGTCGCTATTTTGGAAGCGTGTAGCAATTTCTGTAGCGCCATGATTACATTTTTACATTAAACATCGTTACGTTATTTTCCACAAAATTTCCGTCATCCAATATTGCGTTTTCATGTTCTAAGGTGAATATTATGCATGCTTCTCGTGCAGCGATTTCGTGCTTGACATATTTTCAAGTACACATACGCGAAATATAAAATTGAGCTTATAAACCGAGTAAAACAGATTTTTGGGAAAATGCATTGCTAGAGTTATATAAAAATAACGACTTGTAATATAAATTATACATTGCTTTATACATGTTCGGTAATGCAGCTTGCATCGCAAAATGTTATTATGATATTGAATATGAAACAATCTAATAACGAATACGTTTGAATATATACGTATATTACGAATGCAAACATTGTAGTAAAGCTAGTTCAAAATTGCCGAGGGGTAAATAAATGATATTCATTTGAACATTTTAATCGGTTTAAAGCAAATCATTGTTTTTGTTAATGAAGCTTTGTATTTGTCTATAAATTATTATTGCGGTTTATCGGATAATCGATAAATATAGCTATGAAGCATTAAAGGACCATGAACCGGCGCCATACACCGACGATTATAGGCTTCGCTGAACAGAATAATCGAAACCATATTCAACTGGCTTATATTTAGCGACTTTACTCTATTCTAATAATATGTTTTCGCTTTTCCGCATTTATGTGTATACATCTATCTATATCCATGAAAATATATAAACTGCAACGGAAATTGCTGGTGCTGTTTCAGGAAACATGGTGCCGACGGTGGTGGCACATCTCTCACAGGACCTTTTCCCTAACGGCCAGTTCCTATTCGCCGACGTTAAATCCACTTTTGATGAAACAACTGAATGAGCCTAAAGCCACGGAAAAACAAACGAAGAAAACTGCAAGCGCTACGTCGGCAGAAAACATAGAGAGCCAGAGTGCCGAATCAGCCGGTGAGTTATATTCCTTATATTAAGAACGTGCAAACACAGCAGCGACGATTTTGCTGCAAAACAGGATGCAATAACAAACAAAATTATTTTCTCTTGTATTATTAGCTCTACAATATCGTAACAAATGCGACAAATTTTATTGTTAGAAACGTATGTTTTAATATGAATTTTTGATGTTAAGTTGCTGTGCAATCCGCAATAATTTTGCACGGCATGCAATTTTAATGTTTTCAAAGCTTATGCAAATATTTAGCGCCATTGGAACATTCGCAGGGATTAATTTGCAAATGATATGTAGATGTGCAAATATAGTTCTTATTGTATTAACCAAAACATTCTCTTATTGGACATAAAAGCTGAAGCAGCTGCGATTGCGTGTCGGCTAAGCACTAGCGCAAAACATTTGCAAGTTTTTCATCTCCGTAAAGATGAGACGCACTAAAAATGAATTCTTTTAGACGGGCGCGTAAGATAGTTGTGCAACATTCTTCACTAAAATTCCAATGAGAGCATTTACTCAGAGTTCGCTTTACTGTCCCCATCACACTGCACAAAGCTCTCAGTATACATTTTACAATACTCTTCAACCCATAGTATAACACTTAATGCTGGATTCACACCGAAAGCACTTTTATGAAGCTCGTATTTACGACTGCGAAGTATTCGCTTCAAAATAAAATCGTAACAATTCTGTTAAACAACAGGTGTTGTTGCGTTTATCCATTTACATCGTTAAAAGATTTAACGCATACGAGATCATTTGTGATTTTTTTTTGCATACATGCACAATATAGATTAAAATTTTAGACTTTATATGCAATTTTGTGAAATTTGTCCTCCTTAATATTATTATTACGTTAAGTTTATATTAATAATGAAATACTATTGGTATTATTAATTTTTCTTGCAAATTATAATTATGGTGAGATTCAATACGGTTTGCTGTGAATCCACCTTAAAACATTCCAGACTGCGAACTTGCTTGCCAAGATCTTCCTTTGAAGTTTAGACCGAATCGATAAAATCAACTCTGACGTATACGAGAACGTATAATGCCGAAAATAACATTGTGTGTCGTCTGAAGTTCCAACGTATCATTCAATTCGAAATTTGTGTTTCGAAATGTGTCGTGTGCATAAGCCAGTTTTCGTGACATAACATTTATTCCGCCTCTGGCTGTGCGTGTTGATTGGAATATAAATTACAGATAGAAGATATAAGAGAGTAATAAAATTATAAAAATACGTTTGCATAATTTTACGTCACAGTATATAATAATAAATTGTTAAAAGCTCTGAATTTAAGTTCAACGACATTTAAAGAGTAAAATTATAATTATACAATCTGTTGGAATTAATGAGGACAGATGATAAATATTAATGTGAAAACTGCATCACGGGATTACTGCATAAAATTATTTATTACACATTTAATACATTCATGTTACATCTTGTCGTACATGCTTCGTGCATTATATGTGACATTACACTGAGTTTTTTATATGTACCATAACTTTATCTATTATCTCAATGCTTATCACCTGCTATAAAATATGACTCGTGTGGACTTCTCCACTTGCAATAACACACTAATTAATCAATGGTACTTACGTGACCCATAAATTATCCTTCTCATCAACGTTCTTGCAGCATTTTTATTACTTAATGCCAGAAAACGCGTTAATACATAATGTAGTAAAACAATCTAGGTACTTTTTCCAACAACGTTTATTCGATCGTGATTGGAATTTTTTTTTATACATAAATAATATTCTTATAAGATAATCATTTTTTATAATCCCAAGAAATTTCTTTCGTGAAAGTTAGACAGTAATCACGTTATCTCCTTTGGCAATCTCCGCTCATTTCGATCGCATCAGAGAAATAAATATATCATACAAAAAAACTCCCCTTTCAGAAATGGTCGCGCGTGTTAGTTTTGGCTGTCAATTCCGTTGAGACTGTCCTCAAGCACTTCGAACTCCTCGAACTCCATTTTATCGAAATCATTGCCGGTCTTCCAGTTGGCCATGTTCACTTCCCATCTAGTCAACGCGCTCGGTGTGAATCTGCTCGGATAATTGGATCTTGAGTCGTCCAGATCGCCCAGCTTAAAGTCCGCTTTGAAAATAGTTCTCGATTCCTTAGGATCTTCCTTCTTTGGCTCGAGACCAATCACCACTGGCGGTTCTCTCTTCACCTGCTCAATTTGCTCGATACCCTCGTCCCGCTGTTCCTCGTCCTCCTGCCTGCTATCGATCGTTGTAATCTCGATGCTCGGTGTCTCCGCGATGGTGCACTGTCGGAGGTCAGCACCTCTATCGCGGCCGCGACTTAGCGTCTGTCTCTCGACAAATCTGCCGGTCAGCTCCAGCCTGCTGTCGCAGGAGTTACTTTTCACCAGTCTGAACTTTACGTAGTCGTTTGACTGGTCGATCTTGAAGCCGTTGCCGATCAGCGGCGATATCAACGGACCGTTGTGCATGTTCACCACTTTCCCGCCGTAGTAAGTTACCGAGGTGCCGCACTCGCGGATTTTTTTCAGCACATCCTGAGACACGTAGTGCCCCGTACTCGCGTTCGCGCCGTAATCGTCGTTGCAATTCACATCTTCGTCATCGGATGATGTGCAATGAGCGCCACTCCCTGGATCGGTATCGGGATAATCGCTCGACACGCCGGAACTGACGCTGCCGGCGTCCCAATTTTGATGATGATGATGATGATGATGATGATGATGGTAACGGCCGACTTTATTTTTGGAATAGTTCGAACCCGCCGGCGACGTGTTTCCGCTTCTGGCTTCGAAGGTTTGTGCGAGAATTCTCGTTTTCGACTCGCCCCGCGGACTACCGAGGTCCTCCTTGGCGACGGAAGTGGTCGACGACGCGGACTTGGTCTCGAAGAGTCTCGTGAGATCTTTCGCCCTACTGGAACATCTGGATTTGAACATAATAAACTTTGATTACGGCAGCTATTCACGAATGATCGAATGATAAAGAGATTTTGCGACTTAGCTTACGTCAGTTGTGCATAAACGACTTGCTTTCAATTAATGTCTGTAATTTGAATATAATTTCGGAAACGCTATTATCTCTTTCAGTCGCGAATAATCAAATTGTAAACTACTTAACGCACAGACGTTCCAATATAAACTTCGTCGCGATTTGCAATTCCATTAAACCGAATGTTATCTCGGGCTGAAATATTTAGTGTATCGTCTCGTACTTAATTCATCCACTTCAACCAATGTACTAAAAGCAGGTAAGCACCTAAGACATGCTTATCGCGTCCGTAAATAATAAACGCTTCGTCGTCAGTGACGTTGTCGTTCAGTGTCACACTACCTGGATTCCTCGCGTGCCTTGTCGGACATGCCATCGTATCGACTGTCGTCGATACTAGTCAAATCCTTCATGCTGACGCTCCTCCTGCTTTTGCAGTCCCTGGAAAACTCGGCGTCGGATATACTCTTCTTTTTCTGGAGAGTGTTCTCGAACATACGTCTCACGTTTCGAACGGTATCCGGATTCGGTAGCTCTTCGTCGATCAGTTCGCGGTTTACTCGTATAGGCTGATAGAAGAAGTGCTTCCTGATGGACGACTGCCTCGGAGTTTTTACGGCGCCGCCGTCGCCGCTTCCAGATTGTTCGTCGTTTTTCTCGCAATTTTCCATTTTCTTTTGGATCGCACCGGCGATTTTGCACGTCGGTTCCGCTCGGATCGACGGTTTCCGCTCTATCGTTTCGGCGCGGACCGGTTCGATAATGACGACATTGTTGTCCATTATTATTTCTTGGAATGAATATTCGCGCAGATACTGCATCAGTCCTTCGTACGTCACGTCACCCCGAGCGGTACTGAACATGTTTTTGCTGAACATGTGCGACTTGACGATCTTGTAGCGCACATGGTCGAACTCTGGACCGTCCTGGCATTCTATCGAGTCCACGCAGCTTCTGGATCGAATGAGATTAGTATGCAATTTTTTGCCGTCGTCCGTTTTCGGCGTCGCAGAGTTATTGGTGTTTTTGAGCGACCGGTCGTCCTCGGCGCCGTCGTCCATCGATCTTCTGCGGGAATCACTGCCGGATTCGGAACCAAGGCCGAGATCGGAACTCTCCGATCTCGCCTCAAAGCCCAGGCTACCTTTTACAACGTTGCACGCTTTGCCAAGAATATTCGACGTCTCCTTGACGATCCTTTCAAATCTACCCTCGTTCTGCTTATTCCGCGTCGCCTCTTTTTCTGTGTTTTTCCGTTCAAAGAAATTTCTCGCGTCTTCCATCGTTGCCGCATTTTCCGCATTTTCCGGTGTCATAGCGTCCTGCGAAATTAATTTGTCAATTAGCTTAATGCTCCTCTGCTCGATTTCCGACGTCAAGATATTTTCGTTAATAGAAAACGAGAGAAGATGAAATCGTGAAAATTAAAGCGCGGCGTTGCGGACCGACATAAATTGCTTATTAAAATACTGAGTATTTAATGGAAGATTTGAAAACTGCGAAAATATAAGACTTACGAAGTACACCGGAAACTACTCAAAATTCCAGTGTGCAACGTTCGTGGAACGAATTCAGAAGCTTCGCATTGCACTTCTCTTTTGGAAACTTTCGCTTTTGAAATTCTTTTTACGAAGAAAATACCATTCGTACTTTCAGAACATTTCTACTTCAAAATCTTAATCTTACAAAATTAAAGTTTGGAGAATTTTCGAAAGAGTACACGCAAACAATAATTTGTTAAAACAAAGAATTATTATATCTTATAGTAACCTTTGCATTTTTCCCACGAACTTCGCCCTCCTTGTTTACACGATTACTCGATTTAATTATGGAAGCATCAATGCGATCGCTCGCTTCCTTCGTAATCTCCTGCGGTTTCTTATCCTTTGGCACGACCTCGTCGATAGCATTTATTTCCACGACGGAGCACCGATGGCGTCTTCTGGTGACGTCGTTATCGATAACCTTGAGAACCTGCGGTCTTCGCGACATTTCGTCCTGATCCTCGTCCAAGATCCAGATCGATTTGTAGTCGTCTACCTCCTCAATTTTGCGATCTTCCTCGTGAGAGGTCACGAGACTATCGACATCGGCAGCTCTATGGTGATCCTTGAACGAAGAGGAGGAGGCGCGTTGATCCGCGAACTTCTTTGCCGAATTAATCTCCGAATCTCCCTCAAAATTCTCGGACTCCCGACGCTCTTGTTCAGCGTCCCGTCGACTTGAGACCGTTCCCTTGGACAAATCGTGATTCTCGCGAAGCTTTTCAGAATCTCTAACTCGAGCGGGATTATCCTCCTTCGTCGTGTGCTCCTTACATTTCTCCTCGTCCGTCGCGTTGCTGCTTCTCGTTTCCTCGCTCGCGCTGCTCGGCTCGCTGTACTCGAGCACTCTTAAGTCCCGCGTACCATGCACTCGCTCCTTCTTTCGCGCAAAATTACCGTCGCTCGTCGAGTTAGCCTCGTCGTATCCCAAGCGTATGTTAGAGAGAGGCAGTAAATTTAGCACGTCGAAATATTCTAGCTCCGCGTCGTCCTCGAAGAGGATGCTGTCTAGACTCCTGTGCTCCTTACGCTTGCGCTTCACCTAGGTAGGAAAGCACATCTGAGTACGTGCTTTCTGTACATCCTCTTCAATAGAAAGACTTATCTAAGTAACGACTTTTCTAAATGCGTTTGTTTGTGCCAAAATACTTTTATAATCGATGCAGAGAGATATTTTAGATAATATATTTTGAAATATATTTTTGAGATAATATGATTATTTGAATCAATGAGATAAATACTAGTTTAGTTTACTGTTTTTTTTTCTTATTTATGAAAATCATAAAAAAATACCTAATTCAATTGTAAGTCCGATTTTGCGAAACTCCTCTCCTCTCTTGCGGGCAAACGTTATCTTGCTATTTAATTTGTAGAGAACCGATCTGCCCGATGCTCAGTTGAAATTTAATTAAGCTACCACTAAATATAACGATGATATTAGGGAACTTGGCTAGGACATAATGATCTCTATCATTTTAATTAATGTTGGCAACAAACTTCTTAATCTTGCTAGTATATCGAGAAATCCCAAGGGGACTGGCCACAAAGGCGATACGTTATTACATTGGATAAACTCGTGGAAATTTCGTCACACTGATCTTTAATATATCATACATCGATCTATTTTAACATCCAAGCTAGCGATATAAAATAAGGCAACGACAAAGCAAATTTTGATCGAATAAACAATTATTTTTCTCGATATTCTTCTCAATGCAAAATTAAAAATTAAAAATTTTGTTTATCGAAAAGAAAAATGTTGCACCTGTGTATAAATGCAATCGATGCTCCGATTGCCCTCAATTGGCCAATTGTCTTCGACGATGTCGACCAAGCCGCTTACGGTATCCAAGTTTTGTACGCTGCGGTACCGTCTCGGTGGATTTGGCCAATCGAGAATATTCAGCCGATCAGGATCGGCCCGATTTCCTCGTGAATAAGAGAGTTGATCTGGGAGAGACACGAGACCTGATGGTATCGAGTGAAGACCGCAAGCCGATCGCGAATAGTAGGATTTTGCCTCGTTGAATCTCTCATAAGAATCCGAGAGATGCTGCTGACTCTTGTAAAGTCTGGAATAAACAAGATACCAAATCTTTTAACTTTAAAGCGCACGTGAAATAAAATTTGCATTTGTAAATAGCAATGAGCAAAAACACAGGAATCGAAGTATAGTACATTTAGTAATATATTAATCATGAATTCAATAATTTATTTCATTTTATTTGGTTTGTATGTTGCATAATCTATTGCTGGATGACAAAAACGATTAAATATTACACGGAAAAAGAACAACAAAAATACTTTTAATATCGCAAATAATTTAATACTAAATTTTTTATAATTAAACCGATTTTTTTCAATTTTTCTTTGAAATTACTTATTTAAAAAGTAATTGTTAAAATGAAGCACTCCTTTCCAGCAATAATTAAACCGCTTGATTAATTTTATTAAAAATACGCATGTTTCGTTTTATTTTAATATTGTTTCATTTATTGTATCACAGAAATTTTTCTAATATTCTTTTATTATTGCTATACGAAGTTGTAACCGTTTTGATGTTGCGTAATATTGTCATAAAGATTACGAGTCGCAAAGAATCGATCAGAAATATAGCGGTTTTTTTGCCAACCAAGTAGCTATGAATTAGATTGCTTCCAACAGACCGTAAATAGATGATGAAAACAAGAAAGTTTTCCAGTCAACGTCAAAGCAGCTATCCAGTTTGAGTTCACAACGGGAATGGACCAGCCTCTCTTTTCTCCAACAAAGTTTCTTTGTGAAATTTTTTTACCGCTTTGAGAGGAACTTTAAGTTTAGGTGTTAAGGTTTCGTTAAGCAGCATTGTTTGCTGACCGATTGAATTTCGAGTTTACGCTTGTTAGTTGAAATAATCTGCACCAATCGCCGCAAGTGGCGATATCAATGCAAATTTACGGTCAGGAGATCAGATTCATCGCTCGCGGAGAAATTTAATGATTATCATAATTGGCGCCATTAATGTCAATTGTTTGTTATCATTACGATTATTATCTTCGACAAACATGTTTGTTCTCTATAAATATAAAATATGAATTAATGTAAAATAAGGAAGGTTTTTTTTTTTTAAATAATAGACTTCATTCATTGAAATGAAATACCTCGAGTAATTTGAAACAGTTTTTGAATTAATTAACGCACGACCTAGTTCAACGTTTATGCGATATGTTAGCCTTGTAAAGCAGCTGTTAAATAGAACAATCCGAAGTAGCCTTTCATTCCTGTTATTCT